CTCGTGCATACATTACCTCCTTGAGGTAGAGGAGCAAAGGCCGCTGCTCAGTTGCCTACTGCGATCGAAAAAACTTAATACCAGTATACTTCGGCGTTTGTGCATTATGCTAGATTACCAGGTGGTGTCGTACATTCGTTGTGATCTTCACACATTGGTCCTGAATTTCAAAGGTTTTTACTGAGTTTAAGTTTAAGTAACTCGTACAGTAAGTCCCTTTTGTAATTGCCATTACTGGTGCTGTGCCTTCAGGCAATTCGTATTGGACACGTTATAAGTAAAAATACCCATAGTATTCTGGGTTTACTTACTATTCCACCACTGGTCAGAATATGTACGAGCCGCTTTTCACGGCATAATTCTGATCCTCTTGCTGCTGTCGGCACAAAGGGCCCTTAGGACGGTGTGCAAGTGCAATAGGTACATGGTGCTGTTGTCTGATTAGAGTCTACTGGGCCGTTGAAAGCGGGGAATGATGCAGTTACACTGCAAATCCATAGAACCGACCGCTGTGTTATTTTGCATCCTCTTATTCGCCTAAGCTTGAACATTGATGATTCACAGAGACCATATTTAAATACCCGACTGAACGGTGGTACGATTTGAAATCATTTTACCGTTAGAGCACAATTCTTATCCGATGTTATTATCATGTTAATTATATAGAGTAAACTAGATTTATTATGCCTGAAGGTTGTGGTTGGTTGATTGTACCTACATTTTTAGACATCGAATTTGTTCGAAGTGCGGAGTTCCTTTGGAAGACGACTGCCATAACGGCAGTTAGCTGCGTGCCGCTCTATGTGGCGAAATGCCTTCGAATTAAGTGTGCGCCCCCAATATATACAAAGCTTAGCTGAAACGACACGTGGACAGTGAAAATGCGCTAATTATAATAACGAGTACATCTTAGCGAATAATAGTCGTACCGTAAAACGGCGGCTTCGAGAAGTTATGCAGGACCGCATCGTATGAAATTTGGCCAGAGGCTATGCTCATTCTTTCTGATTTTTACGGTTTACCTTGTCTTGAATGTGATACTTTTCTTGTGTGCAAACAAAGGATAATACGCTTAATGTTTCTCAGATCTGGTATCTGTTTTTATGTTATTCGTGGACTAAATGATTAAACCTGCCTGTCATATGGTTAGGATTGCCTTGGATTGTAATTTTGTAGAAAACGAGTTATTTTGAAAGAGTTGATAAAATGGTAAAGCAAAATCAACACTTAGCTGCAACGTGCGATTATGTGAATGAAAGTGGTGAAGTCTGTCGTCGTAAATCTAGAACTGATTTCGTTACTAGTAACAGCTTCACAGTAATTCCGCTTGTTCCCGCTGAAAACTTTCTTTAAGATCTTTGCGATTTCAGAGCTTATAGACGTGAATTTATGATTGTTTGTTTTTCTCATTTACTTGAATGCTGAACAGGTTGGTTTCAATAAGTCATGTTGCCAAATGCGATTATTTCTCTTCTGGCAGAAGTCGTAAAGCTTCTTTTCAATAGACTGGCAAAAACAGTTTGGTACTGAAATCTATAAAATTTATTTACATTTAATCTCGAACATTTTACGTACGCAAAGATAGATAAAATTAAATTCGCAGAGATTCTGAACTGAAACAAACGTTGTTCCTGTTTATCATGCAACAGTACTTTGTGAATTAAAATATTTTTGCCATGATATATATCGCTTTTGACATTTGTTAAAAATGTCTAAGGCAATGTTGGCTTCGTATAATCTTTTATATTCAGTTATGATAAGTAATGTAGGGATCATTGCATTGCGGTTTGCTGCTGACGCTGATTACTTATGACAATTGCACTTGTGATCATAACTGGTTGTTCGTCTGAAGAAACCTGATTAAAAACGGCCAAAATCATTTATATGATCTGTTTTCACGTTAAGTTCAGTTTAGACCTGAAATCTGTTTAACCTCTTTGGCTTCCATTTGTACATGCCGAAGCCAGTACTGTCATTCATTAATGCACTGCAGCAAGACTTGGTGGACAGGAAATAGAAGAGTATGCACTGAACTTGTTACATAGCTGTGTTTATATTAATGGGTCATAAATTTTGTCGCGCGACGTGCTCAGTCTAAATACCTTCAACGCTTTTGCGAAGGCCGTTGTTTCTTGTATAGAAGATCAAAACATCGAAGACAGTCATTATGGATTTGAAATCCCAATTATTTATCTTCTAAGATAGAAAAAAACTCCTCTATTCGTTCACTGTCTTGAAACATTAGACCGTATCTAATCAGCGTGAATGGAAGGTGGAGAAATTTGTATCTGACAAACTCCTTTATAGCAAAAAATAAACTAACGCAATAAACTATTGTTCTCAGCTGTTTATCAGAAATACGACGACCATGAATTTTAAGACCAAAACCAAAGATGAACAAACATTGATAATAAAAACGTTTAGACTTATCAATCAGTCATTATTTTCTGCAGCAGCTAGTATCTGGTCATTTTTTAGCAGCAGGTTAACCAAAAGCCGCATACATACAAAACAAAACAATGAACCTGTGACGATGAAGAATCCCAAAATCGTAGAACAATTTGTCACTGACTATAAGAGGTTGGATATACCTTCGTCCTGATACTTTTCGTTAACGCCGCTCTGTATTGTATTTGACTTCTCGATTCTAACCCGGGCCGTTTAGTTCAAAGCATCCGTTGAATTATTTTGCACATTGAAGAACAATGTATATTTATGTGGGATCTAAGGTAAAGAAGACAGTGAAAAAACGCGCGTAAGCCGCTACTAATAAAAGTGGTCCCCTTTTAATCTGAACAAGTGGACAGAAATCATCAAGATTTGTCAAGATCACACAACAGATAATGAAATGGCACTGGGTTCGAAACAGAGATTTGAAATGTGTTCCAAAAACGGAGGAAAGTCAAAACTTGGAAATGATTCGCTGAGCCAGAGCTGCTTACAGCGAGAAATACTTGGCATAGCAATGAATATTGCCTTCATTTTTAAATTTAATTTACATTTATACCTTGTGCGGATTTTTCAGTGAGCCATTAGATGGGTCAAGGCAAATTGCAGTCGAATAGCTCAAGCATCAGAGGGCAAGATCTATATCTGATACGTTGTGGATGAACACTCGAAAGCGCCATGCAGCCCTATTACTCACAGGCGAACAACTTGCTACCCGTTTTTCGGATGGTTGCACCAACGCACAGTACGATGAATGCCTTGCTCAAGGGAATTAGCGGCTAATAATAGAAAATAGTTACAAAGACAATTAATATCTTATCGTGACTGTCGGTTTATCTTTCATTTGTCGATCAACTGTCAGAAGAAAGCCTCAACAAGACTTTGCCATAGATTTCTGTCTACTGCCATCTTCATCCACCTTCTTCAGCTGATCCTACCGTCCATCTCGTGGTCGTCCTACGAGTAGTTTACTCGCTCCGTCTCATCACAGCCAATATAATAATGTTCAATTCATACTGATTAATAAAAAATAAGACGGCTATCACTAGAGCAAGCTTAACAAACCCATCTGTAGAATTTTACGAATTCTATGGGCACGCTTTACCGGCTTCTGTCACAAAAAACTTAAG